TTTACATCCGTTCCATTGGTGCAAAGAAACCTAATGATGATTACACACACACACACCAAAAAAAAGAAATGGGGTGCATGTGTCTCAAAAAGGAAGATGATACCCCCAAAACAACAGTTTGATAGATTTTGATATTGTAAGTATTGGAACCAAATTGGAATTGATGGACTGTCCAGCTATTGACTAGCTGACATTGCCGATCCTGAATATTTCAGCAGGCGTCCACTCTTTCACTTTGGGATTTAATAAAAAAGAATCCGTACCTAAGAAATATCATAAAATGAAAGAAAACAACAAGAATTCAGTATTATATAAGATTCTTAAGATGTAATTAAGTACAGTAGGGATCCAAACCATTGCACCCTGCTGTTCAAATTTGCCGTGGGATTCCTTGTGATCCCTTGGGCCCCCCGGCAGGCTGAGAACTCTTAATATCGAGAAACCGCTTATAAATGGTCGTACCGCGGTAGCGCAGAATCAACAGAATCGGAAAACAAACTTGCCTACTTGACCATTCTTCCGGGGTCGGCGGCAGGGGCGGCAGCCCTTAAATTATATATTCAACAATATATAACACAATAATATACATATAATATACATATATAATCATATTTATACATATTAATCTTGATATTTAATCAACAGCAATGATATTTGATCCAAATGCAGCAGCTGTGCCTCCTCAAGGCCCGGAAGCGACACCTGCGCGACCCAGCCCCAGTGTCAGCCGAAAAGAGTGTCCTGTTCTCGGTATCAATTTGGAAATATCATGAAATATCCAACCTATCCACAAAAAATATCAAAAAATCAGATAATTCATAAAATATCAACAAGACCATACAAAATCTATCTGTAACGTGTCATCACAAACCTCAATCCAAAGATGTTTTCAAATGGTTTCCGTTGTAAATATATGGCAACTTATTTTGCAACATATGGCAACAACAAGAAAAGACCGCAGCAAACACCCAACTCCTCCATTAAACCTTCGCGAAAAACTGCGCCTCATGCGCATGGCTCAAGGCTTGCTGCAAGCGCTCCGGATCTCGCGCCGCCATTGCTTCCTCCACCTGTCCAGCAAAAAGGTGGAAACATGTGGAAACAAAATGAAAGCAAAAAACATACAGTTCTGATAATTTTAGTCATAATTATCTATCTCCAATTGATAACATATTATAACATGTTATAATAACCATAGTTTTTCCAGGAAAATCATGGAACTTCATGAGTTGTTGATTACTTGCGGATGACCTGTCGAGTGACTCACCGCCTCCTTCTGCACATTCTGCAGGATCTGCAGGAGATCTGTCGCCTGTCCGTTGCCATAGTTGGTTCATGTTGGTTCATGTTGGTTCATGTTGGTTCATGTTGGCTCATGTTGGTTCATGTTGGTTCATGTTGGTTCATGTTGGTTCATGTTGGTTCATGTTGGTTCATGTTGGTTCATGTTGGTTCATGTTGGTTCATGTTGGTTCATGGTTCTGGTTCTGTGATGTTCTGTGATGTTCTGTGATGTTCTGTGGTTGCATGGTTTGTTGATGGTTGGTGTTTCGGGTGTTTTGATCTTGAAGGATCCCAAACCCATGACAAATGCTTGACTTAAATGGGAATCATCCACCACCCTTCCGTATTTAGGCAATGGAAAGCCCCCAGCTTCAAAGGGGAAAGCATCTATGACAATCTATGAAGTAACCCCATCTCCTGGTCACATTAAATATCCCACAATTTTGGGCCCCAAAACGAATAGATCCTACACATTCTGCCAGGGTTTCGTTTTAGGCTATTCATGAGCGAAGGATTACTCAAAATTCCATGGTATTCGGATATTTGGGTCTTTGGGTTGTTGTTTGTTCCTGTTTGTTCCCGTTGTTCCCTCTATGGCGAATCTCCTCAGATTCTCAGGGCCTGCGAGACCAAACTCTTGTCCTCGAACTCAATGTCGCGGACATCCTCCAGGTCCACTTGAGAAATTGATACAAAAAAATACCAAAGAGATGTAGACAAAATATGGAGAAAAATATGGAGAAAAAAAAAAACATCTCCCATTTACCCTATTTACATCATTTGACATCTATTTACCTCATATAACCCCCTCATATAAAGATATATAAAGTGCTTTGGGATAGAAACATGACCCCCTCACAGATTTCCCGCGATGCATCTCCTGCAGCACTTGCGCCAGCTTCTCAGGCACGCGTCTTTCCATGGCCTGGGACGAGTCTGTTAACAGATAAAATTCCAGTCTACTTAGAATAAACAACACATAATCAACACAATCAATTAATGCATTGTTTCATTGTAACATATTTTAACCATATCTGGATGTGTGTTTACACATTTCGATATATTTGGATATTAAGTCTGAATCTGTGGTTGGTTATCAATTCCGTTTCTAATGTTTGAAAATACATCGTCCGTTGTTGCAATTTAAAAAAACACAATGCTGCATCCCATCCCCCTAAAATACCCTTGAACAAATACAGCAGTACGTCCCATCCAAGGCTTTCAGGGTCGGTCTAGTGTTGGGATGAACTGGTCTAGTGCCCAACGAAAAAAATGGGGACCCAAAGCCCATGCGGCTGAAATTGGGAGATTCAAAGGGTTTAATCTGAAATTGACAATGTCAATAACCCTAGTTGATTAATCCCCAAAAAGGGTAAACATTGGTACACATTTAGATCATTTAGTAAATGACTATATATATATAACTATATATATATTATTACTATATTATATTATATTGAATTATTGAACTAGTATTTTTTTCCGAGGTTTCGGCCCCATGACTCCAATGACGGACCTGCTCCAGTGTCTGCTGAGCATAGTCAGCCCCTTGCTGTCGAGCAATGGCGCTGGTGCTCAACTCCTCCATTTTTGTCTCAACGATTTTCAATTGATGGGTCAAGGATAATTATTCAATATATGTCAATATGATGTCAATATATTTCATTATATGATATTCAATAAAAATCAATATGGGGATGGGTCAAAACCTTGTACCCCTGGTGAACCCCAAAATAGCTGGGATTTATGGATGTGAATAACCCACTAAAAATGGTACTTATAGGTATTGACCCATAGCCATATTGTCAAGGCAAAGCAGGGCTGAGACCGTCCTCGCTCCAGGTCGACCAGCCCCCCGGATTCCGAGCCCTGTCGGATGACGTCGGAGTGCGGGCCCGGTGTAAAGACTTTGAAAGTGAACATGGATGTAGACTTTCAAACTTTCAATGAAAGTGAAACTCTGAAAATCGAGTTAAGAAACTGAAACTATCAAGAAGATTTCGGGCCATCAACTCACCAGCAGGCTTGCCGAAAATGCAAACATGGCAACGGAAAACGAACCCACTTCTGAGCACTTCACTGTCTGTACATTTGTTTGGCTATAAGAGTTCTATGTGTTATAAGTTTTATCAAAGTTTTATCAAAGTTTTATCCATCTTCATCCTGCCACGCAACTTTCCCCAGTTCTCCGCTGTTCTCCGCGGTTCTCCGCGCCGATTTTGACCGCGGCCTGATTTTGATGCTGTGCACGTCGTCGCCGCTGAAGGAGTCGGGCATCTTTTGCAAGTCCAACGGCCTCGGGACTATGGGATGACGGTTGAAAACCTCGGTTGTCAAAGGATGGGTTGGTTACGGTTGGAAACCTCGGTTGATGTATCAAATATGTATCAAATATGTATCAAATATGTATCAAATATGTATCAAATATGTATTAAATATGTATTAAATATGTATTAAATTATTAAATATGTATTCAAATGCAACATTGCTGTATCATACACATAATGGTCTATACAAATCTATACAAATCTATACAAATCTATACAAATGCAAATCTATAATGTAAATTTCCGGTAAAGATAGCTTGTCCCCGCTATCTCCCTTGGATTCCCGGCAACTCCTGCATCTTCTCGCCACGCAAAGCGGACTGAGCGCAATGGGGAATGGCCGGGGAATGGCGCACGAATGCGGTGGATTTCCCTGGGATTCTTCGGTGGAAATGAGATTTCAATGGGTCTAACCATGGGTCTAACCTAGTAAGAATGTGGAATTTCATCGATGACGGTGATTTCACCCCTAAGCTGTGGAACCCCAGCGGGTATGTTTTTGATTGTTTTTGTATACTGTATACCCTTGCAAATTAAGTGGAACTGCACCCCTACCGGGCTTTTGGACACGTTTCAATACTTTTAAATACTTTTAAGATGATTCTTAGGTAGTTGATGATGATTTTGGCTGACTTTTTGATCATGCCTAAACATCATTCCGCAAGTAGATGATTTGTTCAAGAGCTTTTGAGATGGCTGATTGAAAAAAACAATTTCTGGATCAACGTTGCCTACCCTGTAATCTGCATCATCTCAACAGCTTGTCACATCCGCAGCTAATCTTGGAGAAAATCCTTAATGATTCTTTCTTTTGTCTGCGGATCTGTGCTTAAACTGTTTGAAAAAAGAGGGCAGCACGTGGTCATCTCCCTATGTTGCCAATTTTGACTAATTAACAATGACAATATCGCATTGGATCTCCTTTAAATATAACATGCGCGATGAAAAAAACAATAGGATCCCACACAAAACACAACATAAACAGAACGTACTGCAACATACGAGTACTGCATAGTACTGCATACTGCATCACACTGCATCATACTGCAATTGATGCAACTGTTCTGCCTTCGGCAAAGTAAAGGACTGCTCTTTGTTGTTGGACTCCAAGCGGACCACCGTTTCCTCAGACGTCAATCCCCAGGAGCCCAGTGAAATGATGTGAGGCACTGCAGCGCTGCTGAGCAAAGTCGAAGTGTAGAAAATCCGAAGTCGAAATGGATGTTATTTGATTGCAGACATTTGCAACATCTGGATACATCTGGGACAAAGGAATAAACTATGATAAACTGGTATAAACTGCTCATAACTCTTTGAATCTTCAGACAGATGGGCTTTGATATCTTTTTTCTACCTCACGAACACCGGGCATTCATCCAGCAAGAATCCTCAGTCATTGTAATGACCATACCTGTTGGTGAGTGTGGCTGCTGTTGTCCACAACGAACTGTCGTACTTCATTTGTTTCAAGGAGTTCGTGTCGATCACAGATGGTGGATGCACATGTACCAAGTCCCACGGAAACGTGTTCAATGAGTGCTTCCACAAGTTCCACATGTTTCGCAAGCGACCCATCAATGACATTTGCGGAAATGTCGTTTTCACCCTCTCAATTTGATAGTCATATGGAAGCAGGTAATGGTGGATCACTCCATCTTTTTCGTTCACACTTACCATCAGTGTCTCGTTCTGACCATCAGTGTGTCTCGTTCTGGCCATCAGTGTGTTGTTCTGGTAGGATGTAACTTCATGAATTGAAGCTGGAAATGAAGCATCAACTTTATGCCCATTAAGATTGCTCTCAGGGCCGACTAGGTGGCGGCGTGAATCGGAATCTGCTGACCAAGCTGCGAACCAGAGAGAACAATTGGGCTATGAACATGATGTTTGAACAACTCCGGGTTGCAGATGTCAGAATTCGGAGCAATCAACTGTCGGCACCACCGAACTTGCATGGTGTTTTGCGCTGTACAAACAATCATTTGACAAGAAGCCAAAACGATGAAGTGACTCGGCTGGATAGTGATCGAAATGGATCCTGGATGGCCAATCGTATGATGCTTCATGACTCTCATAGCATCATAGCTGATTTTTCAGTGCCCCTGAAGGTGTAGATTAAATGGTCTACACCATGCTGAAAGCTAAACTCCAGCCATGCGGGAAGTAATTTGATGGAAATGTTGAATTCTTTCCCTTGCCACGGGAATGTTGGGTCGGGGCGTCAAACACATCGCAGGCCCCAACCCAGGCGATCGAGCGGCCACCACTTTGCTCAATTCACCGTTCGCGTCTTCCAAAACACTATCAAAATACTATTTTACGTTGCTTGGTTCGCTTCTTCGGCCATTCGCACAAAAGCACCCGGCCATGGATCCTCACTGCCCGATGCTGCAGACGAGACAAAAAAGTTGGGTTCTCCTATGTTCTCCTTCAGGTAGCTCCATGCTCTGTTTCTTTTCACTTAATTGCCTTCAAGGTTCGGACAATGTCTGGCCACTCAGCACGGTCCGACAGCAAAGCGATGTAGTTGCCCGTCTTTCCGAAGACCGGCACTGCACTGAAAATCATCATGGTGAAGTTGCCACAAGTTGCCCACGGACGTGTTCACTGGCAATTAGATCTTGGCCAAATCCGGCTCTCCCAATTGGCCACGTCGGAGATCAGTTGCACTGGTTTTGATGTTGCATGAAGCAGCTTGCTTGCATCCTCACAGCTGCAATCGTGAAAAGCAGCTGTTGAGGCTCTCGAAAATGAAATCCAAACGACCAAAATCCGCCAAATGCATTGCCATGCTGCCACATTGCCGAAATAGCTCGAGACTGTTCTGTCATGGCTTTTTATACCTTTGATTTAGGCGATACATGGCCCAAGAACTTCGGCCACTCCCAAAGTCGATGAAATGCCGATGTAACGCCGAACCACGGCCGTGGAAGTCTGCAGTTCCAAGCATTGCATTCTTGGCGTTGCGATGTCGACCTCGTCCGAAAGTGAAAGATGTGAAAGATTGTGAAAGCATATATTTGAAAAAAAAAACATGAATACAACAAACAAGTTTAAAAACATGGAACAATTTTGGACATGCCATGCCCTTCCCATGCTCACCTCCAGTTGCTGTCGCCATGTCTGTCATCTGCCTCCACAGCCATCTCCCAACATGGCCACCTGCAAATCCTGCAGCAAATCCCATGGCCTGTTGAAATTTGAGCGTGTTCTACACGGAAGTTTGAGTCACCTTGGGAAGTTCATCTTGGAGGTTTCATCTATGTTCAGCTATGTTCCTGTCTTTCATCACCGTTGATCTTCTTCCGTGCGTTGCCTAATTCAACCTGCGGCATAGCCTAAAGTGCAGAAAGTGCCTAAAGTGCCTTCCCGCAAAAGTATGCAAAAGTGGTCTTTTCTAAGCAACATCTCCTGGAGCATCCCATAGGCGGTGTCCATGGTCGTTGGATCGGTGGAGGTCACTGTAATTGGCCCCATGACATCCGTCTCGAACGTCAGGGCCTTAGACCCAGAATGACCCAGATCACCATGCACGACAACTGGCGCAACAACTGGACACAAAGTGAGCGACGTCACTTGACATTGGTCAACTTGACATAGTCTTGACATCACTTAACTATCCAAAATCATCCAAGTTTGGAGGTTACAATCATTCTGACCCATATGGATCCTGATGATTAATGACATCCATGTAAGAAACAGCTTCAAGAAACTGCTTTCCTCACAGTAAAACTCACATCAAATCAGATCTGGTCAAAAACCTGCATCATCTGTGCGTGTCCAAAAAAGGGTACCCCAATATCCCATGATATCCCATGGTTTAGATAAAACCATACTATCACATGTTCTCCATGAAAATTCATTAAACTTGTAATAGGTATCCCCCAGTTTCAGCATGTTCAGACTATCCGCAGCATCAGCAGCATCTCAGTTTCCAACAGCAGAAGCGCCATCCAGATTCGCCAAGGGATGCTGCCATGGCAACTCTTTCAACAGCACGGAGGTCTCAACATGGCCTTCGGCCAACGTCGCTTCACAGACCTTGGAACTAAGGCAACTAAGGTCCGCGCCAGATGGAAAGACATGGGAAAATGGGTGCGGGAAAATGATATAAATAAATAAATAAATAAGTGTGTACAGTGTGTATCAACCAACAATATGATAGTTGGGTGTGTCTAAAATGGGATATACCCCCAACTTGCAACCATCAAATTTGGCGCTACCAATTCTGAGACAAACCCTTTATTGGGGAAGGTTTCTCTAGAAAATTATTTCCGAGAAGTTGGGATTGAAAGCGTTTCTTCAAAAACTGTAATTTACCCCAAGCTTATGGCCATTAAAAAAGCTGGAGAATGATGTTTCACCACTTCATTTTGGTAATTGTCATTTTCCCAAAAGTTGAAAGACAAATCAGACCGTCTTGGCGTCTTGGCGTTGGGCAGCTGGCCACTTTCAACGTATGTCCGCGAGCAGCCACGTCGTGGACCTGGGACGAAGGAGGATGCGGAGTTCCTTGGTGAAATAAGGATCGCTTTTCACTGCGAGGTGCAGTATGATGCTGTTGTTCATTAATGGTATTTCAAATTCTCAGGTAGTATTTGATGGATTTCAAATGATTTCAACGTGTTTTAACTGTTTTAAACCACAAAGTGAAGCCAATCTCCTGCCCCCTTGCCTGTTCTAGTGTCACGTTGCGAATACTGTCGGCAGGAATTTCGGCCTCGGAGAAATCATCTGGCATGGCCATCCCCAAATTCGCCCAACAGTTTGAAGCACCCCATTCAACATACATTCAACATACATTCAACATACATTCAACATACATTCAACATACATTCAACATAACACAACCTTGTTTAGGTGCCGGATCTGTTCATTTTGTGGTCCTTCAGAGGATTGCTAGGCAGATCTCATTGTTTTCACCGTTTCCTGGCTAACCAGTTCCTGCCGGGACACTGGGTTCACTTGGCAGCCAAAGATCGCGGCACTGAGGACTGCCAGCTTTGTGGCAGCGTCCTGCGACACTGCTGCAGTATGGGTGTTTTTGGTGGTGTTTTTGGGTGAGTTCTTCCTCCATCCCAAATATGTAACTCACCCATCCATATGCAGAAAAAAGCGAGTACTACACACTCAGCAGCAAACCCAGGGCTGGTTGTCTATTTCATTTTGGGGGTTAAAAGTTTCCATTGTTCTCGGTTTTCAGCTACAGGGAAAAGGAGATGGACAAATCAAGTTGTATTATACCATTGTTTTATGCTGGCAGCGGAGAATGTCTTGAGCTCGACAATGGTGAAATGGGTATAGTGTGTATGGTCAAAATATGTCAAAATCATGATCCCAGGTTCAGCGGTTGTTTCAAAGTATGAAAACAGAAGGGGACAGCCTGAGAGATCTGAGAGATCTTTGACACTTTAGAGTCTTTAGAGTGCAGTTTTTCTGTGTTTTATCAATTTTTATCCCATGGGATGTTTATCAGTTTATCATGTTTACACCCGCAATGCGTTTGTGTGACATCCTATTGGCTGACAGCCTCTCCTTGCCGTCCAAATCATCCGAGGGATCACGTTCAGCAATGCCCTGGGAGAATCTGAATCTGGGAGGATCCGGTGGGATCCAGTGGGAGGAAACCGCTGCTCGGATTCTGTTTGACGGAGAAAGAGCTGCAGTATGCTGCAGTACCACTAGGCCAATATCCAGAGTTGCTTCAGCTTTAAAAGGCTACGTTGGCGCTCAAGTTCAGCTTTCCACAGCTTTCCCAGGTCTTCTGTGGGTGAAGAACCAAAAGCCTAAAGTACGAAATCGTTGAAATCATTGGAGCTTTTGGATAGCCAGTCTTACCAGTCCTACCACTTTCCCAAGTGCCTCCTGCTGAGCGAAGGCTACAGCATCCCACAGTGAGCAGTTTTCTCTTCTCATCCTGCGACCGTTCGGTTCCATGGTTGAAACCCTTGCCTTGAAGCCCCTACTCGTTCAACACTGTCGTCCATAAAATACGAGATTAGGAAAGCCTCTCAGCATCAAGTGGCCAGCTTCCATTGTCAACTGGAGAACCCAAGTCTTTGTCGCTTGGTCTCTTTTCTGGTTCCAAGCCATCCCAAAATTGTCGTTGAAAAGTGGAGAATTTTTGAAAGTGTTGAAACGTATTGAAACGTGTTGAAACTCCTGGTCAGGACCAAATTGGTCGTGGAGTTCAACACGCCCACGAAGCGTTTCACCTTGACCCCTGGAAGCTGCCGCAGCAACGAGAAGATGGGCACCTGAGGGGCGCGATGGGGCGCGGGGCACCTCAAATATGTTGTTTTGATTTGCTTTGAATATCATAGATCATCATAGATCATCAAATATCATCATGTCTGAATCGGCCGTTGGTATCTATCACTAGATTCTCTGGAGACCATAGAGACCATGGAAACTTAATCCAATCCATCTCAAATGAGATATCGATTCATAAGTGTGAACCAATTGTATCCATCTTATTGGGACTTCTTTCATCATCGCAAAATCTTTATGGGATCGCTTCCCATTGTAATAAGAATGTATCATCAATATGGATCATCACACTATGGCAGTGTTTCCATCGTTTTCCATAAACTGTTTTGTGCCATTTTCACCGTGGTTATCATATGGTTGCAATATGTTGCCATCATTACCAGTTTACAAATGTTTACAATATTTTACAATACATATCAAATATATCAATATAAATTTCAATATATATCAATACATGTTCTACTGTTCTACTGTTCTACTGTTCTGCCATGATTTTCCGTGGTCTTCACATCGTTTCGGGCGTTGGCGTCGAGGCGTCGAGGCGCACCGTCCATGACACTGGACTCGAAGAGGAAACGACGGCCACGCTTTAGGGCGAAAGCCTTCAGCCTGAACGGTCTGAACATGTCTGAACGATTTCGGAGGATTTCTGGCTGATGAATGCAGGAAGCATTGGAAGCATTGGAAGCATTGGAACTTTTGTTGACGATTTGGGAAGATCATATCCGAGCTCCGAGTTGCCGAAGTCCTTGAGATGTCCAGCTCTCTTTTGGATCCTACAATGGTCTACCATCGTGAGCACACACCTGGTACAAAACACTGAGATTTGCATCCTAAAAGCAAGACTTCAAGACAAACCTGGGAGGAAGAAGGACTTGTCCATGGACCGAAAACATATATTGCAAATGACTGACACGCAATTCCCTTCGCAAAAAGATCTCGTTCCCAACATGCCCGTAGACCCATGCAGCAACAGCAGCCTTTGGTACGCCAACGCAACGGGAGCTTTGCTGGCAGTGATGGCATGTGCCTGAAATGTTTGTCTGAACAAAGCTCTGAAACTTGTGTGATTCAAAAATAAAACGTATATGTATACAGCCATACAGCACTATGTTATATTCTTTTTTGTTGTATGTATCTGAATGTATCTCTCATTATATTGGGTGTTCCAACGGCGGACATGCAACCAGTGTTTTCCATCTGCACTTTGGGTGAGTTGGGGCACTCAAGTTCTCACCTCATTCTCCGTGATACCGATTCATTTTTCCCAGTTGTTGGCGAGATGTCCACTTTGTTTATCTTTGTTCTTTACACATCTTTACACTGGTAACCCAATGGTATGGGTCAAAATGTGGCTCCAAAAAACTGGGTTGGGATAGCGCATCGGGCCACAAGTTTCAATCATTTCAATCCATCCCCACGTTGAAAAGCTTCATGTCCTGCACACATTTGATACTTTAAGAGCAACAAATTCGAAAACTGGAAAACTGTTCATAGACCAACCATTTACATCCATTTACCAATCTTTCCACAATGTTTGATCCGCAACGTCCCTCAGACAGACCCTGACCGACATGGCGCGGGCGGCTCCATCATGAAGGCTTGCTCCAAAATGCTGAGGGCTGGCTGCCCATCTGCTGCTGCATTCATAGCTTCAAGGACCTGAGATACCAACAGCATCAGAAAACCTACCGCAAGACCTTAAAAAACCCTTAAAAAATACTAGAGAGTTAATCCCAAATCCCTTCAATTCTCAGGGTATCTCATGGTGACCTATCATCAATCTTGGTTTTACAATGTTTTATATGGTTCTATGGTGATTGACGGTGATTGATTGATACATTATGATTACATTATGATTCAATTATGTACAGATTATGTACACCTTGATCTTCTTTCTTCTGACTCTTTCTCTTCTCTGACTCTTCCCACCTCTGCTTTTCCATCTGTCCATGTCGGAAGTTTGACTTCTAAACTTCCTTCGATGTATTGATACCTAGGCTCAGCATCACAGTGACCTTCGACATGACGCAGCATGGCCTGCGTTCCAAGATGGGACCCGGCCTGGACTCTTTGTGGCAACGGCGAGACCATAACACTTTGACTTATCACGAACATATGTTATAAATATCGTGTATACATGTATATATATATATGACATACATATATATATATACATACGTATAATATATATATAATATTATATATATATTATATATATGTATATACGTGTATATATATATATATATACATTATAATGTCATATATAACTTATATAATGTTTAGGAATATGAACACATTACATTAATACATGAATTCGGACAAACCAGCATGAATCGAGGCGCTGCTGCAGTTCTAAACTTGCACCAGTCTAAACTTCATCTCGATGGTATCCAGAATAAAACACCTATGGACCTACTTCTTGTATCTGCTTGTAACTTACAGTTGGTACTTTCAACCCAAAAAAAAACTGGGATCCGCAATAAAGTCGGCACCTGTGCACCATGTTGGGATCCCATGTTGCACCTCTGCATCCGGCAGCGACGTCCCTTGGCCCTCCAGGGTCGTCAAACAACGTTCCAGGTCGAGGCCCTCGAGGTTCACCACGGTGCCATGGGATCCAGTGGCCTTGGGTCCCCTTGGGTCCCCTTGGGTCCCCTTGGGTCCCCTTGGGTCCCCTTGGGTCCCCTTGGGTCCCCTTGGGTCCCCTTGGGTCCCCTTGGGTCCCCTTGGGTCCCCTTGGGTCCGAGGGTCCAACAAGAATGGTGATGGTACAATATGTATCATAATACCATAATAATATCATATTGTATCATCTAGACAGTATCATAATAGTATCATCATAGTAATATTATCTAGGGTCCAACATATTATGATCTATGGTAATAGTATCGTAATAGTATCATAATAGTATCGTAATAGTTTCATAATAGTATCGTAATAGTATCATCTAGATCATCATCTAGATTGTCATCTAGTATCTATGAAAAAACATTGCGGTTCAAGAAAACATTATATTTGACCATGAAAAAATGCTAGAGTCTGAAAGGGTGATTCGACATCCTTGTCAACCTTATATTTCAATATATTTCAATAATTTTCAATATATGTCATGTTTAAACATGCTTAAACATCGAAGATTTCTACTGTTGGACCACTATGAAGATCCAAAGAGTGATGTTTGAACTTTGAACCACCCGAAGTTGGGAAAGACTTCAATCACTCCAAAGGCAAAGTCCTCTTTCTCTCCCTTTCTGAGTCCATGGGCTTAGTTCTTCTCTTTTTTTCACAGTCTTCCGCCAAAGTGGTGCAAACATGCTAGTCGATGTGGGGGGAGCTGTTGTACTGGAAGCATAGCGAGCAGAAGAAAACACGACTCAACTAGGTAACAGAATGTTGTACATGGTAGTAACTAGATGTAACTAGGTAATGAGTCACTCTGAGTGGCAATAGAATCTAATCGATTCTGAACCGAATGGTTTCTCATGGTTTATCACATCACTGGTGTGTTGTCCTTCCCAGTTTACCAGTCGAGCGTCGATACCCACCACCTTCACCTCGAACTGAAAACTGCCATGTTTGGCCAACAGCAGCCGAGCCAATGCCTAAAATGTGTAGAGGAAAACCCAGCTTCAGCTGATCTGGGGTATAGATTCCACACATTGGATATAACTTGATATAACTTGATATAACTTGATATAACATGATATAACCCTAAATTGCCACTTTAATGATGAAAATATGATCCGATCATCCATTGGATGTTAGGGCTACTCTCTTAGACGAAGCTATGGCCAGGTCAGAAAATCCATTCATCGTTCATCATTCCCCTCTGGCCGGCCTGCCCGACGTTTCCGAAGCCAACCAATGCGATCCGAACGCAGGGGACGCAGGGGACGCAGGGGACGGCATCACCCATTGCGATTCCAATGATTCCAATGGTGTGCCCGCTAAATCAACGATGATCGCAGTTGGATCAACCAAGTCCAAAGTGGAAGTGGACAATGATATAGATCATTTGTGATAATTTATATTAAGTTGCCATTTCTATCATTTCTCATCTTGTAGGTTTGGGAAATCAACAATTACATACAGTACCAAAAAAGACCCAAAGCGGTTGGATCCAAAAAAAAAGGTCTTTGTAGCGCCAATGTTCTCTGTGCCTGAACCAGCTCTGCTGCAAAAGAATACCCTATTTCGTCTTTCTCCTCCAAATATTCGGATTCATGGTTTCTCAAAGGGGGGGACGCCCCCAAAAACTCCAATTGTTCATATGTCATAGGAAAAATCATATCAATCACATGAAATGGCAATCACCCACAACGACCCATAGGATTTTGGTACATCTTCCACGTTTAACCCATCCGAATTTGCCTTTCAAACGGACGGAACTCGACACAACTCAGATCCCGGCCAAGTCGTCGACATTTCCCCCGCCCGTCTCCAACAGGGTCAAAAGCACCAGGCCTGACAAAATAAGGGATAAATAAGACGTAAACGATGTAAATGGATATTTAGAGTTAATGGATATTATCCTAAAAAAGTATTTAAAATGGATATTAGACATTAATATTATTAATATTAATAGAGATTAAGAATATGATGGGAATCAAACTGATACTCAATCAACATGTGGATTTCACCAGCAAAGTTGCGTGAGTTCAGTTTTATTGTTACCATCGAAAATTAGCGGTAGCATATTCAATCATTCAACTACTTAACCTTTGAATATATATATATATATTATTGGTGATTGAGCAAACATAGAAATAGGGAATATACTTTCAAACCAACCATCATGGGAATACAATGGGACAAAACATGACCACTATCTGAGATGTCATGCTTTGTCCCATTTTGGGGTGCCACATGTTCAGGAAAAAAAACAACTGTCATTGCCGATTTGTCCCATGGAAAAACCCCCACCATTGGAAACAAACTTTCCGCGCCTTGCCGAACTCGAATGCCTGGCAGAGTTAACTTGGCCCCAAAAGAGATCTGCAAAAAAAACACCAGTTTTCCCAAGATCTGCACCACCAAATCCAAGTGGATTCCAGGTTTCACGGTTTCACATGGTTTCACTGCTTTCTATGTGACGACTAAGTCGACCAATCTCCGCCATGGATTAACAAAACTTCATCTTTCAATTTATGATTCCAAGTGGGTTGCAGGTGTAACTGCAGTTTGGGGTTTGGTATTCCTTTACAGCAAACCAACGTGTTCAACTTGTTTAATGTTTTTTCCTGGTAAATCTTTAAATATAATGGAGTTCCATGGTTTTTCATGTGTTTTTTCCGCGTTTTTTCGGAGTTTTTCTCCCACCGAACCTTCAATGATCGGATGCAACGGCATCGTCCAGAACTGCAGCTCTTTGGCTGGTGTTCCAGGACCTCGGTCATTTTTATCGGCAGCTCTTTCCCCGGATGGATTTTGAGTTTTGATTGGCAATTAAGCAGCAAAGTTTTTGGTTGGTTAATCGGTTAATCCATGTTAATCCGACTTAATCTATTTTAATATCAACATGATTGACATGATCAACAATGGTTAAAATAAAACTTCAAATCAAAGGTTGCCCCGAAATGAAAGGCTGCACGTTAAACAGCAGTGGGTATTTCGCCCTTCTCCTTTTTCTTGGAATTGACCAATCACTATGTGATGGATCCTTTTGCCAGTTGAATAGTGGATAAAACTACCAGTGTTTATGTTGTGGATAGGCGAAATCTTTATATTCTTGGACCAAGATTCAGGGGGGATCGCATTCCAAACTTATCCAAACTTCATGGCCATACTTCACCCAACCTGGCCATACCTGGCCATGGCGAAGTCACTGGAGGTCACAGATCGAGGAACTCAGTGCATCAGTGGCCACTGGGTTCCAAACCCATGGAGTTCACGGCCGAGAAGTTGGCCAACAAGTACAAGGTATCAGGACCTTGGTGCTCGGCCGGTGCCAGATTCAAGACCAAAGCCCAAACGACTGGAAGTCGTCTCGAAAACATGTAGGAAAAACAACAGGAAACGGTCTATATGTTTTCTCAAAGCAATCTTGTAAGATGTATGACAAATTCAACTCACTATGTTTGAATCTGCGAACCCCAAACGGGGGAAAAACCCGAAGCAGCAGCGGCTGCCTCTTTCTTGAGCCATCCAAAAGGTAGCGTGTCATCGCTTGTGCGGGGGCCATGCCAGTGAGACGACTGAAGCATGTAAAACCCCTGAGACATGTGAACACTTCTTGATTTGTGCGTGTCCATCCAAATTGAAAATGGCACCACACTCCCCCAATGTTGCTAGGTGCAACATTTTCGGTGGCCGTAACAAAATGCCAGACCAAAGCTTCGTTGGCTGGTCTTGGGAAAGGAAAAAAGGGAAGCTCTGCTACATGTCCTCCTCCTCGTTCTCGGGAGTCTCAGCAGCGCCCACGTTCTCCTCCTCAGACACCAGGGAGTAATCATCACTGGTGTTGGCCTCAGACTCCAATGCCTCCTCCTGGAAGCTTTCAGCCTCTTCCAAGCCCTCCGGGGGAGGATTCAATCGCCGTTCGGCCTGGTATGGAGTGCCCAGGGCCTTGGCGACCAAGGTAGGCCGGTTAGCCCATGCTCCAGCCACGGACCCCCGCGGGGTAATCAGCCCCGGGTCCCCTCGTGTGGCCCACTCCCCAGGGATCACCGTAGAGCTCGACGATGCCAAGCCACCTGGGTTCTGCTCTGGAGGTCGCATTGCCACCCTCAAAGAAGCCAGCAGCGGGTTTTCACCAGGTCGATCTCCAGCTCCAGTTGGGATGACCCCCATAGGTCCTGCTCCCATCGACATAGATCCGGCCGAAGTCATCCGGCCTTCTTCTCGAGCATCGATCGGCCCACCAATGCCCATAGCGGCTCTTCCACGAGGTCCAGGTCCAGGTCGGCCACGAGGACGGTCTCCTTCAGCTTCTGCAGGCGCCTGATACCGGCCATACTTATGAGTTGGCCTGCAGTACCCCTCAGCCATCGGCTTCGGTGCAGCTCCAGCCCCGGGCGGTGGATCGACACTCGACAGGCCACCCTGCCCTGCACTGCTAGGAGGCGGACCAGTTGGAAGCGATCCCGCCATCCCATGAGGTGGTGGACCCGCTGGCGGTGGTCCTGGCATTGCATGGTGTACTGGAACTGCTGGTGGTTTGGCCATACGGTTCATCCAACCCTGCATATTCTGTCGCTGGAACCAAGCCTGAGGTGGTGGTTTTCTTCCAGGTTGGACCATCCCGTGCTCAAACGGAACCCCTGGGTCAGCCTCCCCTTCTTCGGTGCTTTCTCTGGCCCCAGGTGGTGGGTAAGCACTTGACCTGCCACCCTGCTTCACCATCGGTGGTAGGTCCTCATCGCTCCAGGTCACCACATCAGGTCGGATCCTGGGCAACCCTGAGCTATTGGCCCCACTCTGGTTGCCCTCCTTGATCCTGAAGAAGGTGAAGCCCTTCCACTGTCCAACCCCTGGCACAGGCTGGCCTCCAAAGCCCCAGTGGTCGCAGTGCACCTGCCGGGTCCAGGGTCGACCACCGGTGCAATGCCACACCACAGTCGTCCTTTCCGGCTCCAAGTCCTCGCACCTCACAGGGGTGCTTGTGTGCACCGGGTGGTACAGCCTGGATCGGAGTCCACCGTGGACCCTGACCCACCACCCACCAGTCAAGCTGCGCCAGCGGTCACTGCTTCCCGTCGGCAAGCTCTGGAACTCTGCGTCATCCCATGGACCGCTCCACGATCCAGCAGCCATGGCTCCACGCACAGCACAAAGACGAGGCACGATTGGGGAGCCTGTGAGGCTACAGTCGGAAGTAGGTTCAGTAGGGTTAGTAGGGCCTGGTTCATTTTCCCTAGGCCTCTTTTCTTGGTTTTGTGCTGGTCTTGGTTCCTTCTTTTCTTCAACTGGTTTAGCCATAGATGCCAGCCCTTCCATGCAACACATCCATGCTGTCAAAGCTGACAAGCTCACAGCTCCAGCCGTTTTCACAAGACTGCTCGCCCCATGTTGGAGCATCAAACCTCCTAAGGCTACCACCGCCTCTGTTAGGCGACACAAACGGGATGATTCAGTCGGCTGCACAAACCTAACTAGGCCTACAGTCCTACGAAAAACTTCCCAGCTCGCCATCAGCACCACAGGCTTCGTGAGGAGGTCTGCTGCAAGCTCTGAGCCAGGGGTGTGCTGAACCCGCCATTCTCGTGCTGCCAGTCGCTCCCTCAAGACGAAGCTTCTCAGTCTCAAATGTCTGGTTCTCCAAGGGCCATCAGGAGCCAAAAGAAGCTGGATCCCTGACAGGTTGTCTCCTCGAATCTCAAACTGGCCGCTCTCCACCAGGTCGTTGTGCTCCAACACATTGAGGATCACCTGCAAGGACTCACCCATCGTCAGCGCATCCACATAGCCGATCAACTCAGCTTCTGTGCTGCTAAGGGCTGCAAAAGGCTGCCTTCGGCTTTCCCATTGGACCAAGGCATTTCCCCACAGCGCCAGGATTCCTTGGCACCCTCGAAGTCCTTGCGGAGCATGAGATGCATCGGAAAGGAGTGTCACCTTCCTCAAGTCACCATTCGGCCGCCCTTGGTCATCCAGGCAACTGCCATAGGAAAGCACCATGTCCACGGTCTCCTGCAAGTAGCCCAGAACATGCCGACCCAATTCTTTGACTCTCCTTGGACATCTCGTGACCCATCCACTCAGCGTTGAAATTGCAAATGCAAGGTCTGGTCTCGTTCTGCCACTCAGCCAGAGGAGTTCACCCAGCAGTTGTTGGCACTGCTTCACCGCATCAGGATCCGGGCTCTCCTCCTCTTCCGGGACCAAGTCGATCTTTGGCAAAGGGACCTGTCGGCCAGGAACTGGACCGTGGCGCTCCAAAAGCTCCCGGGCAAAATCTGGCTGACCAAGCAAGAGGGT